AACAAAAACCTTCCATTGATGCTTAAGCCTGAGCTTGAGAAGCTTGAGAAATTTGCCTGATCATGTTACTGACACTGAGTGGTATGTGTGGGGAAAAATCTAAATTTGTCTAGTTTTTCAGGACAGTTTTTCATTTATTTTTGTTTTTTTTTACCAAGCTAGCTAGTGAAGCTATAATTTTATTAGGCTGCTATTTTTCAGTTTGCACAATTGCAATTAACCAAAGAAAGAAAGGACTGATTTGTTTATTTTGAATATGGCAACCAAGTTATTGAAACTAATGTTTTATTAGGCTGCTATTTTTGTTTGCATAAATGCAGTAAACCAAAGAAAGGACTGATTTCTATTTTATTTTGAATATATGGAACCAAGTTATTGAACTTAAGTTTTATTTTCCTAAATATCAGCTTCTTTATTATATTTTGAATTCCTAATTGCACTCACTGAATAAGTTAAACTTAAGTTGTTGTTTTTTTTTTTAATGTGTTCGACTAAGCTTGTGAACAGTTGSTTTATTTAAGATTGCTGTACTGGTGCTGGTGCATAGTTATAAAATAAATGTGCAATTCAGTAGTTCATTTATGTCTCTTTTTTATTTTTAAATGGGAAAGAAATGTTTCAATTAATGCTGTTTTTCAGTATCGGATCGGATCTGTATCGGCTGATACTAAACCTCAAATATCGGAATCGGTATCGGAAGTAAAAAAAGTGGATCGGTGCATCCCTAGCAGGGAGAGCTGAAACCTACCCAAAACCATTCAAAACCACCAAAACTCATCGAAAACCATGTTAAACGGATATAGGGGGGATGAAAACCACGTTAAACTACCAAAACTAGGGATGCACCGATATGAAAATTTCAGCCGATATCGATATCCGATATAATTATTGCTGTTATGGCCGATAAGCGATATTTACCAATACCACACAAACAAAAATTATAATATACACATGCACACAAACACACTTGGGTCTTTTTTGATTCCGTAAATAAACAACCAGACCTCTGAGATGACTCCCTATTTCAGTTATTCCGGGTTACGCAGCATCAGTATCACTATTATGATCAAACAGATGCCAGTCAACCAACAACCTCCCCTTCCAAAACAGAAACACAAAGATAAAAAGTGGGAAATCAATATCGGATGTTAATTTCGGCTCAGTTTTATATATTGGACCGATACTAATATTCTAAAAAGTTGCCAATATCGGCCGACACCGATATCAGTACCGATATACCGTGCACCCCTAACCAAAACCATGTGAAACTGGTGTAGAAGGGCTGACAACCACTAAAAACCACTCAAAAGCACCAAAAACCATCAAAAACAATGTGACACTGGTCTAGGTGGGGCTGAAAACCACTAAAAACCACTCAAAACCACCAAAAACCATGTGAAACGGGTGTAGGAGAAATTGAAAATACTCAAAACCAGCCAAAACCACCAAAAACCATGTGAAACGGGAATAGGAGAGTTTAAAACTACTCAAAACCACTAAAAATCACCAAAAACCATGGGAAACGGGCCTAGGAGGTCTGAAAAACCATCTACAACCACTCAAAACCACAAAATACCATGTGAAACGGGTGTAGGAGAGATTAAAACTACTCAAAACCACCAAAAACCATGTGAAATGGGTGTAGAAGGGCTGAAAACCACTAAAAACCACCAAAAATCATCAAAAACCTCATGACACTGGTCTAGGTGGGGCTGAAAACCACTAAAAACCACTCAAAGGCACCAAAAACCACGTGAAATTGGTGCAGGAGGGCTGAAAACTACTCAAAACCCCTAAAAATCACCAAAAACCATCAAAAGCCATGTGAAACAGGGTAGGATGGCTGAAAACCACTAAAAATCACTCAAATGCACCAAAAACCATGTGAAACTGGTGTAGGAGGGCTGAAAACTACTCAAAACCACTCAAAAGCACCAAAAACCATCAAAAACCAGGTGACACTGATCTAGGTTGGGCTGAAAACCACTCAAAACCACCAAAAACCATGTGAAACTGGTGTAGGAGAGCTGAAAACTACTCAAAACAACTAAAAACCACAAAAAAACATGTGAAATGGACCTAGGAGAGTTGAAAACCACCTAAAACCACCAAAAATTATATAAAACGTGCCAAAGAGGGCTGAAAACCATCTACAACTACTCAAAACCACAAAAAACCAAGTGAAACGAGTGTAGGAGAGACTAAAACTATTCAAAACCACTCAAAACCACCAAAAACCATGTGAAACGGGCATGTAGGAGGGCTAGAAAACGACTAAAAACAACTCAAAAGCATCAAAAACCATGTGACACTGGTGTAGGTGGAACAGAAAACCACTGAAAACCAGTCAAAACCACCAAAAACCATGTGAAACGGGAGTAGGAGAGCTTAAAATACTCAAAACCACTAAAAATCACCAAAAACCAAGGGAAATGGGCCTTGGAGGTCTGAAAACCATCTACAACCACTCAAAACCACAAAAAACCACCTGAAACAGGTGTAGGAGAGATTAAAACTACTCAAAACCATGTGAAACGGGTGTAGGAGGGCTGAAAACCACTAAAAACTAAACAAAAGCACCAAAAACCATCAAAAACCACATGACACTGGTTTAGGTGGGGCTGAAAACCACTGAAAACCACTCAAAGCACCACAAACCATGTGAAACCAGTATAGGAGAGCAGAACACTTCTCAAAACCTCTAAAACCACCAAAAACCATCAAAACCCATGTGAAACAGGCATAGGAGGGCTGAAAACGAAATTTACGACTATAACTACGGTTCTATGAATCCCGGATGACCGCTAGAGGCGGTGCTTAAAGCACTGAATGATCACTCTTGCGCATGCTCAGGTCGAGAATCTTATACCAACTTCGTCACGTGTGACACCCAGTGACACCGATAAGTCTATATAATCACGTGACAATGCCAGCTCGGTCCCTTAATCTTCTCGCGAAACACGATGATTCTGAGGGACCGAACGCTCTGGCGGTCATTCGGGATTCATAGAACTGTAGTTACAGTCGTAACTTTCGTTCTATTTCATCCCTACTGACCGCCAGAGGCGGTGCTTAAAGCACTGGAAGACGATTACCAACAGAGTCCTGAGGAATCGCACCCAGAACAGAAACAATCTCAAAACATGCCCACCTCACTGGGATGACGAACGCTGGGACAGGATCCCCTCCAGCGGGTGAAAGGCGGTCAGATTTACCCTGTAAAATCTAGCAAAAGTATTCGGAGATGACCAGAAGGCTGCTGCACAGATAGCCTCCAGAGTGACCCCAGTCATAGCGGCCCATGACGCACTGCTGCTCCTGGTGGAATGGCACCCTACACCAGCAGGAGGTTGGTGGCCCTGTAGAACGTACACTTGTTCCACCACCTCCAAAATCCATCGCGCGACACACTGTTTGGAAAGGGCCTGCCCCTTACGTGGCCCCTGCATAGCAAACAAACAGACTATCAGACTGCGGCAGAGAAGCTGTCAGTCGGACATATGCTTCCAGTGCCCAAACAGGGCAAAGAAGTTCATTAGGCCCACCTGTGTCAAAGCGAGCAAGCTGTAGGGGCACAGAGTGGCTCGCAGATGTGGCCACCTTAGGAAGAAATGTCATGTCAGGCCAAAGAGTAACGCCAGAGCCAGCTGGGTTCCAACGGCAACAGGACTCGTAAACACACAGCGCATGTAGTTCACCCACCCGCTTCGCCGAAGCCACGGCAAAGAGAAAGGCAATCTTTTTCGACAAATACTCAAGGCTCATCTCTGCCAAGGGCTCAAACGGGGGAGATTGCAACGCAGTGAGGACGAGAGAGACGTCCCACACAGGTACGACAGGGCGTAAGGGAGGGTRSAAGCGCCGGGCACCCCTCAGAATAAAAGAAACGTCCTTATTACGGCCTATTGTCTCACCATCCACCACCACATGCCAGCAAGAGATGGCGGCTACATAAACTTTCAGAGTGGACGGAGACCGACCTTGAGAAAGCAGTGCTTGAAGGAAGGTTAAAATAACTGAAATAGAACAGTGTACAGGATCCACATGTCTAGCACGACACCAATTGTCAAAAACTTTCCACTTATGACTGTACACCTGTCGTGTCGAAGGGGCCCTGGCGTTAGTCATTGTATGCCCGACATCTCCATCATACTCTGAGAAGGAGATGCCGGGCCTCGTAGCGGCCTAACCCAGAGCTGGAGACGACTGGGATTGGGATGCAGGATCTGACCCCCCAGCTGTGACAGAAGGTCCTTCCTGTGGGGGAGAGGCAATGGAGAGCTGCAACAGAGCCTGTGCAGCAGTGGAAACCAGGTTCTCCCCGGCCACAAGGGGACCACTAGAAAGACCTGATGCCCCTCCTGAAGGACTCTCAGGAGTGTTGGGCCTATCAGGGGAAGTGGCGGGAAAGCATAGAGCAGCAATTTTGGCCAGTCGTGTGCCAGTGCATCCTGACCCAGAGGACTGGCAGTGTCTGCTAGAGAGAACCAAAGTGGGCAATGTGTTGTCTCTCGGGACGCAAACAGGTCCACAGCTGCTATGCACTACTTCTCCCAAATGGCCCCCACTACCTCCGGGTGGAGCCTCCACTCCCCCGGTGGTGGGTGTCCCCGAGACAGAATATTGGCCGGAACATTCCGCACCCCTGGAATGTAGGCCGCCCTTAGGCTAACAAAAAGAGGGGCTGCCCAGGTCAAGAGCTTCTGGGTCAGCCTCAGCAATGTTGTCGAATGTGTGTGTCCCCCCCGCCCCGATGGTTGATATGAAAGACCACCGAAGTATTGTCCGACCGCACTAGGACATGTTTCCCGCGCAGACCCGGGAGGAAGTGTCGCAACGCCCACTGCACAGCCTCCAACTCCAAGGCGTTGATGTGCTGCAGTTTCTCCTGCGGGGACCATGTCCCCCGGGCGATCTGTCGCTGCCACGACACCCCCCATCCTGTGGTGGATACATCGGTAGAGACAAACTCTCGACGAACCGGCAGCGTGCCCAGTGGAACCCCTTTGGTCATAAACCCTGCCTCTTGCCACTGAACCAGTGACGCAAGGCATTGATTGGACACCAGCAGTCTCCTGCGGCAGTGCAGCATACGAGATGGGTGCAACCTTAGGCTGTTGAGCCACATCTGTAGCGGTCACAGAGACAACTATCCCAGGGGTACTACTGTAGCAGCAGCAGCTTGCCCAACAGACGAAGGTAAGCAAGAAAGTGGGGTGCGCGGCCGGGTAGAAAGGAGGACAGCGTTTCAAGAATGTCCTCGACACGCTGAGGCGAAAGGGTGAGCAGTCATAGTGAGGGAGTCCATCGTGATCCCAACAAAGGTGACCTGCTGAGATGGCACCAAGTTGCTTTTCTGCCAGTTCACACGAAGACCCAACAAGTCTATGTGTTGGGAGTAATGTGTGTGTGTCCGCCGCCTGAGCTTCTGTGGGCGCACAGATTAGCCAATCATCTAAGTAAGGCAGGATCTTCAACCCCTTGGCCTGCAGAGGAGACAGGGCTGCAGCCACGCACCGTGTGAACACGCGCGGGGACAGAGACAGGCCGAATGGAAGAACTCTGAACTGA